CCAATCATAGATCACCAAGTATTATAAGAGTTAGCAAAAAAGTGACACAGAGACACCAAGTAAAGAACTTGCTGTTGGAAAATGGCACTAATGAACTTGGTGGATACAGGGTTGCACAAACCTTCTATTTGTAAATAATGCAATATGCATGAGTTGCAATAAAGAACAATGCAATAAAATGAGGCATGCTTGCATCTTGTCTAGTCCAAGTCTGTTATTCAGTGTTTGGACTGGGTGTGTTTACCTAAATTTCAGGAAGCTTCATGCCTGTGTCCCAATGAGGGGAACCCAAGTAATAGACTTGATATCCAGCCTAAACTTTGACCAAATGAAGCTGAGAAGTGGAACAAAAAAAAAGGTCAAAAATGGAAAATGTTTACCAAGAAATAGAGAACTGCTCCACCCCTAACATGAGAAGAATAAAACCAGCAGAAATCAATTGGACATCCATTAACAAGAGGATAAGAATAAGAATTGTGAAACTAAAAATACATTAGAATTATCTTGGGACTCAGAATAAATATGAAGAAATTTTGAAAGGAAGCCTTAAAAAAAAGACCAATCTCATACATAAGGTAAATATACATTCTGTTCCTTAAGAATATCAAAATATTGATCATAGAATTATTTACTTAAAATCTAATAAAAATTTACCTCCACCAAGGGAAATTGGAAAAGGCAAAGATAGTTCTTAAAATATACTCAAAGTAGAGAGTAAGTGAAGTATACACGATCAACTAAAAGGATGAATTAAAGCTGAGTCAACCCTACCTTTGTTAATAAAACGGCAATCTGACAATAAATAAGATAGTGTGGAAATTTTGTGGAGGTTCATTTCCTTTCATAGTTTATGCCATGTTTAAAATATAACTATGCTTATAGCTTTCTCAGTGCTTTTGCAATCTATATTCTGTTTCCCAATAATTTCAGTCACTCCTATAATATTTACTTTCTTTACTCAATCTGTAATAACTCATTTTGACTATTAAATAAGTGTCATATGCTTAGCTCAGCTTTTTGAAACTCTAATAAGTCTTCTTGCAAAGCAGTGAGAACAGGCAAGCTCCATGAGCTTCCCAGACTAGTGCTATGACTTTACCTCTTATCAACCACATGAGGAGCATGCTATTCTTTGTTTATCAGTTTCTTTACCTATGGAACAGGATGATTTTTTAATAAGCACAAATGCTCATTGTGAAAAGTGAGAGAAATAATCCATGAAGTGTACTGGTCCATGGACTGCTATTATGTTGTTACTACCTTGTGAGTTTCTGAGTGACCTATGCTATGGGTATCTATCATTTGATAGAAAACAATGTCTATGCTGTCTGATTTATCCAAAACCACAGCTTTCTGAAACAGGAATTATTATTCCCATTTTACATATGGGGGCACTAAGGTGTAAATAGTCTAAGTGACTTTTTTAAAGCCTTAAAGTGACTGACTGCTACCGCCAAGTATCAGACCAGGTCTGCTGACTTCCAGTTGAGAGCACTTTTCACTGTACAAAAGCTGTGTTTCCACCCTTCCCACATATTGCTTCACTGTGAAGAACTCTGGACAATAGTGTGGACTATGAGTTTGAATCCTAGCACAGCCTTACTCAGCAATCCATGCAAACTTCTTGCAGTTCAGGGTTTCCTTTTTCCCACTGTAAGAATTGGACAATGACACTCACTTTTACAAACTCAATTAAAAGCATATCAGCTCAAATAATGTAGGAGCTGATATATACTACATGCCCAACTTTATTAGTTTATGTCAATATATATTTATATTACTTTTGTTAATGTGTATCAAGAGGTTAGTGTCATCCTAGCTCATGTCAGTTCACATCATATATTTCTTACACATGTAGAATAAGATTACATATTCTGCATATTGACAAATTTTAAAAAAAAATTGGTGTTGGATTTAGAATTGTGTATAAAGACCTGGAGATCTGCATGATCCTTCCTTAAGCAAAAACGTGTGCAGTCCTCTCTCAGAGCTGTGTAGTACTCAACATAGTTGTGCCTTTACTCATTTTAGCCTTCACTACTACTGTGCAAGGTATCTAAGCCAGGGAGTGTGTCTGTACCTTTCCATTCTCTTCCAGACCTAGCACATTCTTAAATCTTAAGTGTTAAGGATAATTCATAAATAAGAAAAACAATCATATCACTATTTCAAATATGTGGATGGTGCTGAAAGTATTTGTCAACATTCTTTCATCATCATTACTATGCATAAGTCACTAGTCAATCAAATCTCTTTGGAAAGAAACAGCCTAAATTATGCAACGCCTATTCCACAAGTGAAGCAAGCTTTCTCTCACTTTTGTTACTACTGAACCTAACTGGGAGTGACAGGAGATGGAGAAAGAACAAAGGATACACAGACAGACAGAAAGTTGGGGTCAGGTGTGTTGGGCGCTTGGATGGAGATGCACAACAGCCTCATTGCTTATTTTCTCTATCTTGTCTTCATTTACTCTGCTTCTTTCATCTATCTTTATTCTTTAAGGCCTTACTCCTTTACAATTCTTTAAAACCTTGTTTCTAAAGTTTTTCTTCTTTCTATTCTTTAAAACCTCACTTCTAAAGTCTTTTTATTTATTTATTTTTTTATTATTCATATGTGCGTACAATGCTTGGGTCATTTCTTCCCCCTGCCCCCACCCCCTCCCTTACCACCTACCCCCTTGATACCCAGCAGAAACTATTTTGCCCTTATCTCTAATTTTGTTAAAGAGAGAGTATAAGCAATAATAGGAAGGACCAAGGGTTTTTGCTAGTTGAGATAAGGCTAGCTATACAGGGAGTTGACTCACATTAATTTCCTGTGCATGTGTGTTACCTTCTAGGTTAATTCTTCTTTTTTTTTTTTTTCCATTTTTCTTTTACTATTCATATGTGCATACAAGGCTTGGTTCATTTCTCCCCCCCTGCCCCCACCCCCTCCCTTACCACCCACTCCACCCCCCTCCCTCTCCCCCCCCAATACCCAGCAGAAACTATTTTGCCCTTATTTCTAATTTTGTTGTAGAGAGAGTATAAGCAATAATAGGAAGGAACAAGGGTTTTTGCTGGTTGAGATAAGGATAGCTATACAGGGCATTGACTCACATTGATCTAACTTTTTCTCTAGTTCCTGGTCCCCTTCTCCTATTGTTCTCAGTTGCTTTTAAGGTATCTGCTTTAGTTTCTCTGCGTTGAGGGCAACAAATGCTAGCTAATTTTTTAGGTGTCTTACCCCTCATATCTCTCTTGTGGGCTCTTGCTTTTATCTTGTGATCAAAGTTCAATCCCCTTGTTGTGTTTGCCCTTAATCTAATATCCGCATATGAGAGAGAACATACGATTTTTGGTCTTTTGGGCCAGGCTAACCTCACTTAGAATGATGTTCTCCAATTCCACCCATTTAAAGTCTTCTTTTCTGTTCTTCCAAGTCTCTTTCCCTAGACTCGCACTGTTCCATGTTTTCTCTTAGCTTTTCTTTAGCATAATCTCTTTTAAAGTCTTTGCCCCCAGATGTGCACTGTCCTATGTTCTCTCTTTAGCTTTCTTAAAGCTTCAGTGCTCAGACTTGCACTACTCCATGTTCTCTTTAGCTTTTCTTTAGCTTAGCTTTTCTAAAGCCTATGTATAAAGTTTTAGGTGCAGACTTGCACTGTCCTCGCAAGCTGCCAACCAATTCTATTAACCCTTATTTAGCAATTCCCCTTTAGCAATTCTCCTTCAGCAATTCTTTTCCCTTCAGCCAGCAATTCATTTTTCCCCTTCAGCAATCTCCCTCCATCAATTTCCCTTCAGCCATTCATTTTCCCCCTTCAGCAATCTCCCTCCAGTATTTTTCCTTCAGACAAAAGCCTCCCTTCATCCAAAAGCTTCCCACATCTGAAAACCTTCCCCATCAAAAAGCCTTTGTCAGGGGGAGGGGAGCAAGGTGGAGAAATTACCCAAACAATGTACACACTTGAATAAATGAATAAAAAAAAAAGACTTCATCATCCAAAAAGACTTGTGTCCTCTTTTAGCAAGTCTTTTATACCCAGTGATAAAAAAGGAGGTGGAGCAGCAATTCTCAGGGAGGGGCCTGACACTGTAACAAGAGGAACCTGCGTTTCTGCTTCTAAACAACTTAGGAAAAGCAGCTGAGCTGCATCTTGCCTTTTTGCTGCCCTCTGCAGCTGGGACTGTGCCAAATCTCAGCCTACAGATTATTTGACATAAACATTTTAGGAAAAGCAGCTGCTCTGCATCTTACTCTAGCCCTGTTTTGTGGCTGGGGCTGTGCCAAATCTCAGCCTGTAGAACATTGAGTACAACTGTGCTTATGTCCTCATAGGCTTCTCCTACTCCACTCTCCACACACAAGAAAATCTCATAAAGACTTTAATGTATTATAGGGCATAGTGGTTCATGCCTGCAATTCTAGCTACTTAAGAGGCAGAGATAGGAAGATTGCTGTTCAAGGTCAGACTGGGCAAAAGCATAACTCTAAAGGAAAAAGGGCTTGGGAATGGTGCAAGTAGAAGAAGGCTGGTTTAGCAATCATGAGTCCCTGAGTTCAAACCCCAGTACCACTAAATATAAATAAACAAAAATAAACAATGTAATGTATTGATGTACTTTCTGAATTATGATTCAAGATGAAGGAAGTAGGAAATTAGAAATTTTATTATTTCAATTATTTATTTATGAGGGACTCATACCTGCTAGGTAGGCACTCTGCCATTTGAGCCACCTGCCTAGTTCAAGGGAATTCTTAGTATCTTAATTTGTAAATTTGCATGAAAGTCATTTAAAAGCCAATTATCAAACCAATGTGGTACCTGCCTGTAATCTCAACACTTGGGAGATGGAGGTAAGAGGATCTCATGTTCCTGGCTGGCCAGGACTAAATAGTGAGAACCTGTCTCAAAAAAATCCAAAAAAAAAGGCCAATTGTTTTCATACTGTGTGTGAAACTTTCTTCCTATTAATTACTTGACAGAAAATAGAACTTATGCATCTCACCTATATGTTGTCCATACATATGATAAAAGAAGCTGAAACAATATGCGCTGTTTGTAGGTCCATAGGGATTTTTGGGGGCTATGCTGAAAACAGGGCTGAGAAGTCGAGCCTTTTCACCTTCCAATCTGGGTCGAGATGTCTCAATGTACATATAAAAACCTTAAAACAGACAAAATAAAGTGTTCAAGCAGCAATCTTATCAGGCAACATGGAATTGCAAGTCACTGAAACATTTCTGAGCATTCATGCAAAGTAAATATTGATATACAAAGTGGCTTTAACAAAAAGAATAAATGATTACCTGATTAAAGATAAAACATACAAACATTTGAGAGAAGTTGGAATTTTAGACTTAAATTAGCAAAAAGAAAATTGTTTTGACTTCCTAACTATATATGTCAGTGAGTTCTGAGAAAAAATTGTCTATAAACTTTGGAAATACCTGTATTATTGGTACTATACATAGATACAATGTTCATTCCATAATATTCAAATGTATAGCTAACTATTCATTTGTATTTTGTATAAATAGCATTTCTGAAGTCTTTGCTGTGAAGAATTACTATGACAATTCAGTCTCTTACCTTCTTTGGAGCCACTACGGTCAGCATTAGGCCCTGTGTTAGGAGTATATTTCGTATTTCTTGTTGCAGTACTTTGTTTTGTCCAGTCAAAATTGTCTGTATCATCTTGGGTGAACAAACAAATGTTACCATCTTCAAATCCACAGTGAAACTCCCCTGTTAACAAATTTTAATTAAAGTAATTAATTCTAAATTAGTACAAACGTAGCAGCATTGTACAAGAAAAAAATTAAATGTTATATAGCAATAATAGTGCAAGATCATAATAATGACATAACAGCCTTGATCGTGGACAAGATTAAACACAAAGCCATTATAATTTTAATAAAAAATTAGCAATTTTGTCAGCGTGTATCAACTGTACAAGGCAATGGGTTTCTTTATGACATTTCCATACATGCATATAATGAACCTTGATCATATTCACCCCTCTATTATGCATTTTAAGCTTCCTCTTTCTCCCCCTTCCTCATTCCATATCCCTACGTCTCTTTTTTAAGAGTACCAATTTTATATGTAAATAAGTATTTTATGAAATAATTGAGACCCAAAGCATCTTCCTCAGAAATATCCAGATAACTGAAATTAAGTAATACCATTCACATTTGAATGATGACTCAGTGGCATCTTAAAGATGACTACCTTGAGTTTGTAATGTTTCCTGTCATGTCTTCTAGAAATACATTCATGCATGAAGTTTGCTTAGGGCAAGGCAATAGCAAATTATTTTGAAAAGCAGTTATCACTCATATTTTATTCAAATGTGGATTTGCCAGATGTTTGAAATTCACTTAAAGTGAATTTCATAAAAAAGACTTCATGAAGACCCGAAGGAAGGACTGAATTTCCTGGATGTCTGTCAGAAAGTGAACTCCGATCCAACACCAGTTCAGAGGGAGACTTTTTGCAACTTTCCCTGATCTATGGGTGGTAGTAACATTTCTAAATATAAATTTTTTTTTGTTTTTTTATTTTTTGAAAAATAGTATAAGTAAAGAAGCTTATAAGTTCTATCAAAACATAATTAAACCATGCATGATAGTGAGAAAAACTGAACACCGTGTATATTATTTCACTCAGCCTAAGAACAGCACTGTGAAATCATGATAACCCTTATTCATAGAGCTCATAGGGGAGAAAACATTTGCAAAGCCAGCCATTAAATAATGAACTCAAAACAGATGGCAGGTTCATTGCAATTCACACAGACATCTGAAGAATGAGGAGTTCTATTTGAGCGCTTCCCATCCCGTAAAGGGACAAATTTATAAGATATCCTTGGGACTGTACCCCTTTGTTGGGATCATATGCCTGAACTAACTGAAATCTATTGATATCAATAAAAATAAAGCAGGCTTTCCCTTTGAACTTGAGGAATAAGTTTCTGTTGTGTTTGTCAGATTAAAGACTTGCCATATTTATGTATTAATTTATAGTCTATATTTTGGCTAAGTAGGTTGTAGGGAACATAAGTATTTAAGGGAATTTAAATCTGTAAATCTCTACATAAACCATATTCCACATAAAATTTTCATTAGACATACACTTGTGCCGTTGGTCTTATAGGACAGAAGACAGAACATTTGATGCTATCAAAACTGTAATGTTGGAGAAAGCAGTGTAGTTATATGCATGCTGACCAATGTCTTCCAGGTACAATATGAGCTTCCTCTAGTTGCATCTGTGGAGTTTTGATCCCATAACAGCACTACTTAATTTGTAATGTTTTCACTTGTTTAATGTCATATTATATACACATACAAAAATGGTCAAAGGACAAATGTAAAGATAGAACATTTCAGTTTACAGATGCACTTTCAAATCCTACTTTGTGTTATTTAAATGACATATAATGAATTCTTATAATACCTTAAATACTTCCTTTTATAATTTAATTTAGACTTTCTTAAAAAAAGAAAAAAATCTAGTTGCCAAAAGTGAGCAAAATAATTTTTAAAACCTAAATATATGTCTGTCATAGTAAAGTAATATAGCTTATAAAAACTGAAAAAACTTAGACAGAAACAAAATTTTTCATGATTTATTTTACATATGACTATTTTATATATGATACAAGTTGTCTACAATATTCTGATTTAAGTCAGACTAAGATACATTGACAGTATTAATAGTTCATTACTTCTGAGGACATATGTCGTTATAGAAGGCAAAACCTACTACTGGAGAGACTTTATGAAACATTGACAGATAAAACGACAAAAAAAAAAAAACCAATTTGGGACTATAAGATAATTTTTTGGCTGTGTCGTCACTTTCAATGGATAATTATAAATTTGTGCAAAGAAATGTATTTATAAAAAGCTTATTATAATAAATAATATTAGACAGGTAATGCAAATGAACTGAGCTGTAATGTAATATGAATATCTCATAAAATAGAAAGTAATAAAATCTAGGAATTTCACATAGATAAAAAGCTAAGGATTGGCTAGAATTTCAATTTTTACTAGTTTTCTAAGTAAAGCATGATTTTGGCAGAATTTCAGGAGTCACATGGAAATAAAGACATCTCAAATATTCTGCATTGCATAGTCTACAAAATTTTGCTTTATTTCCTTAATTCTATGGTGAAGAAAGAATCAAACAGCAGGAATAAAAAGCTGTACTCAAGGCTCTTCTTGCATTCACCTCTTCCTTTCATCACTCTTTAGAACCTGCAAACATCTAACTTTACATTTAAACTTAAAAGCTCTCATGACTGATATTTGAGAGTAGATTTTCATAGTAAATGCTCTTATTATTTTAGGGAAACTTTCCAGATAGAAATTTTTTTGCCTGTAGGACTGATTTTCAGATATATATAAACTGTATTTCATCTTATACTCATAATCTTTAATACGAATTTCCCCATATTAAGCAATTTTATAGAATCTGTAACCTAAACCAGACCAATTATGAGTTAGAGGCCACGCTGGGCTGCATGTCTCAAAAATAAATAATCGAATCATTTTTATGAAGTAGTGATCTATGAAAAAAGTCTCAAACCACCTGAAAACCAACCTCTATGTAACTGTAGTCTTTTATGAGAGAAATGTAAAAATTAAAAAAATGAAAACCAAAGAAACAGATTAGCAAAAAATGACATGTAATCCCCCCAAAAGAGAAAAATCCCACAGTCACAGAAAGAGCAAATACTAAATACATTGGGGAAATGGCTTCATATTACCATAGTTAGGAAAATTTATAAATATCGCTTATCAATATTGATGTCTTTATCCATGTCCTTTGTAATTTAAAATTCACATATATGCCAATTTTACTAATTCTAGTTAATCGTGAACAGTAGTTAGATAATCTTTGTATATTTATACTTATTCTGTTTTTCTTAATTATTAAATATAGTTTGATTTTAAAGTGAAAATATACTTACTCAAATGAGGATTTACAGGCGCTAAAAGAAATAAAACAAATAGACATTAGCTTAGAGTTTTTCAAAATATAAAGTCTAATCAGCCTATTCTGTATCTCATAGTTCCTTAGCAAAACTTAATGACTTTCCCCAACTGTGGCAGTAGAGAATTATATCTGCGATCCATTTTGTTATAGAGGATTGGATATAACCTACTTTGGTGCTCAAAAATAACAACCTCAAAGTACCAAAAAGATCAATGCTAAATAGCATGGGGGATTTGCTCATTTTCCAAGGAATGCATTTGCTAACCTTTTCTATCTTAACCAGTGAAAGCCAAACCCAGCAATCAAAAACAAGGCTGACAGTAGGCCAACCTATAATCCAGATGGTTTAACAACAAAAGCAATTTTCCAACAGAGATTGTACTTTTATTTTTTTCTGTTATCTACTTCTACTGAAAATGATAGGGCATATATGAAATAATGCAATCTTCATATCATGTCTTGTGTTCTAAATAAATAGCTATTTTATGCCACTTGGTTTAATTAAATTAAAACACACATGCTGAAACATTGTTCACACAAAGTTCTCACACGATAAGCAACACATTCTACAATTTTTTTCATCTAAGGAAATATTTATTTCAGAAAACAAATTACATTTGCAATACAAGTGTCAATTGATTTCCATCCAATGGGGGTTGATACTTTAAATTTTACCTAAAAGTCACAAAATATAGCTATTCTTTAACATAAAATGGTGTCTGTATGTATTGATCATGTATTTATCACTTTGGGAAATAATTTCATTCTGGATGAAGTAGAAAATTATTGTAGTTTCTCAAGATTACAATGGCTAGGTGCTCTACTCTGCACAACTTGATCCCTTTTGTCACTCTCCTACTGTTCACACTTAAGTAGCTTTATATAACTTGTACATTATGGTAAAGTATGATATATAAAACTATACACATATACACAAATCTCTACATTTAGATTAACTTTTAAAAATTGATTTTCTTAATCAGTTACTTGCACTGTTTCTACATAAAGAAAATAATTCCCATTATCTTAGTTGTTTTTCTGATTGTACACGCCACATTGCAAATTATGGACTGAATATCACAGAGAAGGAGGTATACATTTACTGGTTTCACTGAAAGTGAACTTAAAAAGATCAATTTATGCCAGGTGGTAACCCACACCTGTAATGCTAGCCACTCAAAAGGTTGCGATTGGGAGGCAGAGATCAGGAGGATGATGGTTCCAGCAGAAAAAAAAAATCACAAGACCCTATCTAAGGAAGTGTAGATAGGGGGGTTGCAGACCAGGCTGGTAGGAGCATAAATGTGAGACCCTATCTAAAAAATAACTAAAGCAAAAAAGGGCTGGGGTCATGGCTCAAGTACTGGTGTGCCTGCCAAGCAAGGACAAGGCCCAGAGTTCAAACCACAGTACTACCAAAAACAACAGCAACAAAATAATTCTCTTGTAAGATAGCAATATTAATTTCAAAGGTTAAAATTATTTCATAATTTAAAATAATATGAAATTATAAGACAATTCTATACACTACTTTTCAAATGAGTATCTTTAAATTATAATTTATTTCTAAGCAATGTTACATTTCCATGCCATCTTTGATGACTGGATTTTAATGGAATTTTCTGCTGCAATATTTTATTGACTAAATTCATTTTATCAAGCACAGTTAACTTTTAAATTTTGCAATTTTAAATTCTAAATATTGCAATGAGTCCATTGATTTCCTTTTCATTTATATTTGCATGTCTAATTTCTTTTAAATGCCAATTACAGGTTGAATTGTGTTTGCCAAAAGAATTCTATGTTGAAGATTAATCCTTTGTCTGACTGTACTTTTGATAGGGTATCTAGGAAGAAAATTAGGTTAATTTAGATCGTAAGAGTGTGGCCCTAATCCAATGGGTTGGTGTCTTTATAAGAAGCAGAGGAGACATTAAAACTTTCTCTCTGCTGCCTGAGGCCATCTAAAGAAGATGACTATCTATAAGCTATGAAGAGAGTTCCAAACAGAGACCAGCCATGCTCCTCAATCTTGAACAAAAACTTCTGTATTTTTAATATATCCAACATTATAGTATTTCACTATGTCAGCCCAAGGAAACTCATACAATGCCTATATATCATTAAAGAATAGTTTACCTAAATATTTGTTATATAAAAATAATTTTAACTGAGCAGTTAACACGTTAATATTCATGCCTATGATGCAAAGGTAACTTTTAAAACTTAAAAGTAATTTGTTCTACATCTATTCTTTCATTTTAGTTTGTTTCCTCAGAATTTTCAATAAAAACTACTGAGCTTATAATCGTAAGCTTTAATACCTCTTTAAGGACAGTCGTAATGAACTTCTAAACTTGAACAAAGACGTAAAACTTATCTGCAGTCAACGAGAGAACCTAGTTTTAGGGAGTTCTCATTTCATAGTTTTTTATGCAGGACACCAAAACTTTTTGGTCATAATATCCTCATCTTAACAGAATTATTAGAGATATATCTGTGAATGTCAGTGCCTTGGCTTCCAGGCTTAGCATTATGTATATGGAAAGAAATATGATAATTCTAGTTAACTAGAATGAACCCAAAGCCCTCACATTTGATGCATTTTGTTTTAAAAGTTGGCCTTGCCGTTCAGCTTCATCTTCAGCTTGATGTGAAGACTGATAAATCAGTTTTTACTTGTTTTATTAATAAAATACAATTTAGATATCTTAGTTAATGGTTTTGTGATTTAGCTAGGTAAATATCTTTGTGACAGATAAGTTATTTATAAAATTTCTAAAAAAAATAATATCCTCATCTTTAAAAGGAATGGATACCAATAACCCAGCAACAAATATATACATATATACTTAATTGTACATACACGCACACACACACACACACATAGAGAAAGAAATTTATAACTTAGGGGAAAGAAGAATAAATGCTGGATAAGAAGAGGAAATAATTCATATTTATAAAATATATTAAATTACAATTTTAGAAAAATATACAGGAACATTTTCTAGTTGTCCAATAGAATCATGGAGCTGAGTAGAGTCTTTGTTAGTATTTGCATCATTAACATAATAATACACATATTTTAAAGGATCACATTTATGAAAATATATGTAATGATCCCAGTGCTTTGATATTACTTGATCATCTACAAATTTTCAATCCTATAGTATATATTATGAGATTTTAGTGAAAATTGAATGTGGATAAAAACAACATTAATGAGCTCCTAATAGTTTCACTTTTGACATTATTTGCTGCTCTCTTTTTTAAATTAAACTAAATTTTACTGATATTTTAGTTGGTTTTATTTTTTATATCAATTTTTTTTTTGTGTTGTACTGGGGTTGAGCTCAGGGCCTTCCCCTTGAGCCACTCCACCAGCCCTATTTTTGTGAAGGGTTCTTTTGAGATAGGATCTCATGAACTATTTGCACAGGCTGGCTTCGAACCACCATTCTTCTGATCTCTGCCTCCTGAGTAGCTAGAATTACAATCATGAGCCATTGGCCTCCAGCTTGTTTCTTTAATTAGGATATAGTCAGGAGGAGGATTCACAATGACAGTTCCAAATAAGCTTATATTGTACATTGGTTAGATCTCCCCTACCACCTCTCCCTTTCAACCCTCTCCCAGCCCCACTTAAAGCAATTGCATGTTCTATTTCATGTAGGTATATGAAGCCCATCAACCATACACCCTCACTATAATCTCCTTCATTAACTCTCTCCCTCCCACTAGTAGCCCCCTAACACACACACTGTACCTATTTTACCATCTTGTCTTTTGTTATTAATATTTATGCTGATGTTTAAAGGGGTTTCTCAATGTACCCCTACTGTGGGTATACTTTACTTTGGTCTACTGAATCCCTTCTACTGCTCTCCCTTACCCTCTTACCTTCCACCCACCATTTTTCAACAGTTTTCAATATACATCCTTATATCCTCTACCTGCACAGATGTTGTGTTTCACTGCTCTTAAGTAGGGAAAAATATAGTAGGGGATAAAAAAAATTGACAACTTTATCTGCAAAAAATGTTTTTAACTCAAACCTTGAAAATAAATGATAAAAAGAATGATATGACACTGGACAAATGAAAAAATATGAACTATCTCATCACTGAGTTACTTAACCCTGCATACATTGAAAATACTAGTGGTAGCCAGTTTCATTAAACATTATAGTTCTAAAATGCATGCAAATTTCAATTTACCAAATATTAATTTCTCTAACATATATTAGCATAATAAATCTACTTGCTATTGTTTCTCTTTGAGCTATTAGAGAAAAATATTGTAGACAACTTTTTAATTTTTCACATTTCTATGCTTTTTTGCTTTTTCTCAAAATAGGGCATTTAAATAGTGAAGAAATGTTTTATGCATATAGTTTATAAAAGAAAACTATCACTAACACGTACATACAAACATTCAGATATTTTTAACATTAGCAATTATTAAACTCCGCTAAAAACAAAACAGTGACAAAGATGTCCTTCAATATGTGAAAAAAGATAAATTGTGATATCGTTTTAAAATGGGATATTGGTAAATGATAAAAAGAAATGATCTTTCAAGCCACACAGGACACAGAAAACCTTAAATACATATTGATAATCTAAATAAGCCATCCCAAAAAGGACACATGTATTTGTTCTGAACTATTCAATATTCCAGAAAAAGAGAGACTATAAAAAAGGTAAAGGATCAGTAGTTGCCAGTGTTAGGGGTGGGGAAATAGAATACAGTGGATTTTTAGAGTAGGGGAGATGGTCAGTCTGATATTGAAGTGATGGATATGTAAAATTAATCACTTTCCAAAATCCATATATAATAAATATATATATATTTATATATATATTTATTATATATTAGCATATATAATAAATCCTAATGTAAACTACTGACTTTAATAATATATCAATATTCACTAATTGGTTCTAACAAGTTCTACAATAATGCAACATATTAATATTAGGGAAAACTGCATCAAAGGCAGGGAGCTCTTTGTACTTTTGTCTTTGTATTTTTTGGTGGCTTGGGGTTTGAACTCAGGACTTTATACTTTTAAAACAGGTGCTCTACCACTTGAGTCATTCCACTACTCTATTTTGTTCTGGTTATTTTGGAGATGAGTTCTTGTAACTTATTTGCCCAGGTTGGCCTCCAACCATGGTCCTCCAGATCTCAGCCTCCCAAGTAGCAAGGATTACAGGCATGAACCACGGGCACCCAGGTCTCTGCACTTTCTGCTCAACTTTCTGTAAACCTAAAACTATTCTAAAAAGGAAGTGTATTAATTTTTATTTAAAGCACAGAAAGACACGTTCATCTTATTTCCTAACTTCTTAATGGTATAAGTTTTAAGGTTATCTTAAAAGTTTGAAAAGGTAACACAGAGACACATATTTTATCATTACTCATGCAATCAAGCATAAAGGGGTATTGTAGGTACAGTGTTATCTAATAGCTATTGTGTATCTCTACACTTGTAATCTACACTTGTAATCGTGTTGACAGTTCAACACGAGAAGGGGATCAGAAACCAGTGTAAAGGTCAGTCAGAGATGAATCAACCTAGGTTGCAACAAATTTGTACCTGGAAGCAATGCTAGGAATCTCTCTGTATAGCTATCCTTATCTCGACTAGCAAAATGCTTTGTCTTTCTTATTATTGCTTATGTCTTCTCTTCAACAGAATCAGAGATAAGCCCAGAACAGGTTCTGCCTGGAAATGAGAGGGGGGGATCGGGGTGGGGGGGAGAAAGTGGGAGCGGGGGGCAGCGGGGAGAAATGACCCAAATAATATATGCACATGTGAATAAATTAATAAAAAAATGTTGATATTTATGGTCTTTAAAGTCACTGTTTTTTGTTTTCTTATTTTAGCCACCTGTCAGATGATTCAGAAAACCAAGATGTTAAGTTTTACTTACTAGCTAAATTTGGTAGATAGTTTCAAACTAAATATTCCACATAGTATAATATACAAATAAATACTTTTAATTAAAAGGCTACTTACCACTATATTTGATCACACGAATTGTCGAATCTCCTTCACCAAATTTAGTGAGAGGAGTCAATCGAACTTCATAAGCTTCAGGTTTAATTAGCTCTGTCAAATTATATGTAATTAATTCTCCCTTTTGAATATTCCCATTTATTTTAATCTCCTGTTCCCACCAACGTTGTTGGCCAGCCTGAAATTAAAATAATTTTAAAATAATGTTACCAGTGTGTTCTTTAGAGGAAAAAAAATCCAGAAGTTTATTAAGCAAGCTCACTGCACTACATAAATACATTTTGTTAGTGTTTGAGTTTCTATGGGTAAGAAATTTTACAGATGTTTAAAGATAATTGCCAAAAATCAAAGATTAATTACATAGATTTAAGGGACTTAATGGTCATCCAATTTTAAGTAAGACTCAGAAAGATCAAGCAGGAGTCTTTGATCTAGAGGTTTGGAGAGGTGGATTTAACTACTTCTTACTTATTATATTAATATTATGTGAGATTCTTAAAAACCTGCAACTTCTGTATTATATCAACAATCATATGTATTGCATATATAACAGCACTGCTAAGATGTACTCTAGGCATTAGAGTTATAAACAACAAACACTGATTCCTTAACTTCATTAACTCTTACTTATTATTTATTAAAGCTGTTAATAAGGTAGAAATAAGAAACTTGACTAATCTGATAAATAAGAGTATAAAAATCTGTAAGATGCTTAACTAATGATGATTATATTTTAGAATTGTTACCTTTAGAATCACAAATGAGAAAAGAATGCTTGATATTATCTAGTCAAACATAGTAAGGAGAATAAGTACTTAGAAAACTGAAATGATTCTGTAGGGTTGTCTATGTAGATATCAATCTATGTTAATCTCTCTTTCCCTCCTCCTAGAGGGAAAAGACATACACACATTTATTATATTTCTCACACATGTGCATGTATATCTTATATGTACACACAATTATCCACATATGTGTACATATATATCATATTCCTTCCTATAAAAAAGTAATCTCTCCTTTTATTTCATACTCATCTGCTTTTACTAGCATTTTGAATTTTTCTTCATCAAATCTGTGTATATAATTCATCAGATTTATTAATAGTTCACAGATTTGTCTGCTATTGCAAATTGTTGAAGATATTTTACTGGTTTATGCAATTGTCATGGATTTTTGCACTTCCTTATATTTAATAACATATACATTTAGATTATATTAAGAACAGTTGTCTGATAATATTTATCTGCTAATTTTCATATCAAGTATATGGTGTAATTTTGTTCATAGTGCTTTTTTCTTGTATTTATGTGTTCAGTTTTGACTATGTGTTGAGCATGTGGCTTAAAATTCTATTACTGGGGGTTTCTTCGGGGCAAAAACATATTCCTTTAGAGATATGCCTTTGTTCTGACATGCTCCTAAGGCATCAACAGTATCATTCATTTTCTCTTCAATTGTGAAACTTTTGTTATCTCAAATCAAAGAGGAGAAGATTCCATGCCTTGGGTTGTCATTCTTGTCTGCTTCAGCATTGCCAAACTTAAGAATCAAAGTTGAAGTTTGCCTGAATTGGTGAACAGCTAGGGGCAAAAGCACTTTGAGTAGGAATTCCATCTGTTACCTTAGATTCCCATTTTCCCTTAGATTTTTGTTTGGTAATCTCTGTGTGTATGTGTCTCCATGCAATATATTATATATAATATCCTTACACATACACATGTATACATATATGTGTATATATCTTCTCACACATGTGCATGTATATCTTATACATATACACATCTACATATGTTTAGACATATTATCTATATTCTTATGTATTTATAAGTGTAGGTATGTGTGATTATTTATCTTTATATTTGTTTCCTGAAGATGGGTTAGTCCTAATTCTATATCACAGATGTTATACTTGTGGAAATGAAAAGCCCTCATTTGTTTGATATCAGCACAGTCTTACACAAATTACAAACAAAATAATGGAATGGAAAGAAGAAAATTTATATAGAAAAGAATATGCTATTGCATTCGTTATGCACATGAAAAGAACATGTACTAGATCTTTATATCATATCTTACATAGAGAAATAAGTCTTAGGAGGATAAAATGTTTAAGATTAAACATCAAAACCAAAGAGATAAATACTACTCTGAATGAAATGTTATGTTATGTATATGTATATCAGAACATCGCACATTTCCTATTAATATGTACAATTTTGTGTCTTTATATGTCATTTTAAAATTAAATTTAAATAACATGTAAAAGGAAAATAATTTGGAACAAAAAGAGAAGGATGTCATTATGACCTCAGGTAATTTATTGTTTTTTTAAACAAAAGAAAAGCTTGCATCATTTAAGGGAAGATTGATAAATTTCAGTTAATTTTAAACTTGAAGTTAATACTCAGTTTTAAAAGTTTAGCTAAAAATTTACTGGCATCGATTAACCCCATTAAGCAGGAAAAAGTACAAGCCAGTGCTTTGAAGAAGATATCCACGATAGATAAATTTAAACTGAATGTATTAAAATTTCCTACAACTAAGAAAAATAACTCATTAGCAAAATGAGTCAAATAAATATAGGCATTTCATAGATGAGGAGACTCTTATAACTAATTTAAAAAATGCCTCAGCCTCACAGTGAATCAACGAAATGAAAATTAAAAACACAATACTATTTTCCACTGCCAGACAGACAAAAACCTTTAAAAGGTGACAATATTAAAGTTTGTTATAGACATAAAACAATGAGAATCTTTATGAATATCAGAGCCAGTGTGTAAGGGTTCATAAATGAATGAGATTTCACCCTCATTTACCAGCTAGTAAGTTAGACTGCAACAGTTTCATGAGTAATAGCACAAGACTGGAGGCCGTGTCCTCAAAGGAAAGGACACATGACACCATACACATCATGGGCTATGTTAAAGTTCTGGTCCCTCTTGCCTCCAGTCACACAAGGGTACTACAAAGGCATCTGGGTGGATGATACACAGGTCTTGATTATGCATCATATCTCAAGGACAATGTACTAAAAAAATCCCTTTTATAATTAACAGTAACCAAACTTGTCCACATATTTTAATTACATTGGACATCAAATCTTTCTATTCCAGAAAGAGACACTATTTTCTAAGGATGTTTTCTGTGAAAATGACCATGAAAAGATAGACTGTAATAAAAAAGTAAATAATGTCTGCACACACAAGACATGCAGGAATTCAAGAACTCATGAATAACTGTATTCCAAAAATATATCCCTGAGGAATTTGTAAACTGATACAAGTTTGCAGAAAAATTTAACAATGAACACAATGTTACAATAAAAAAAGTTAAAATCATGTTTCGGAACAGGAATATTCATGACATGGGAAACATAGTAAATGATGTAAACATCTGTCTTAAAACACAAATTTAAGACTACCCATAAAATGGAAGGTATAATATAGCATGGAAAAGGAAACTCAGCTACATGCATGAATTTCAGATTTAAATCACATTTTGAAGAGGGTTACATAGATTTGTATTATGGTCTAAAGAAGTGCAGAGGAATAGTAAACACTGAGTTCAAGATGTTGTCTACACGATTAAGGGAGTGTTAACAGAATTAAGAGGTAAACAAGGGACTGCAACTCCATTTGGTGAGTTTTGTTCTTTTAGATTGGTGGTAGATATACAAACCATCATTGTATCATTTTGTGTATGTCTGAAATGTTTCTCTTTTGTAAAGAGAGAATTGAAGAATAAAAGAGGTTGTCAATTCTGAATTCTCTTGAAACTCTCCTTTGAATTCGAAGACAGGCCTTTCTCCTATATTGCTTCCCACATATGTATTTGTGGGTATTCCTTATGCTTTTTCTGGAACATTTTTCCTGGTGACTTTCAGGATTTAATATTTGGTGTTTTTAATACTCACTCTTAGTTGTTCTCACATCAGACATGGGTGAGAGTCACTGAATGACCTGGTTAAAAAAACAAAATTCTTCCTGATGTGGTGACATACACATGTAATTCTAGAACTTGGGAGGCTGAGGCAGGAAGATAGTGAATTCCAAGCCAGTCTGTGCTACATGAAACTCTTGTTTCAAAAGAAAGAAAGAAAAGAAAAAGAAAGAAGGAAGGAAGAAAAGGAGGGAAGGAAGGAAACAACCCCTCACAAATTCTAAGTCTCAATCACCACTAATTATTGCCTTAATGAGGACTAAAAATAAATTTTTTACAAACCATGTCCTCGCTTTCACAACAGTTTGAATACCAGTAATCCTGAGAGTATATTCTGTGAGGCATAGCTCAGTCTTGCAAGATTACCTCATTATTTCTAGTTCTTCTAATAGCTCCACATGGATAACTTTTATCTTCAGGTCAGGTAATTAAAAACAAAATAAAGCACAAATACTAGTCCTTACTGTGTGCCATTACCACATTGTACTTATTATTACATTCATTCCACCAATACCCTAATAAGGAAGAACTAACACTAGCTGTATTTTACAAATGAGAAAACTGAGGCAGCAGGAAGTTAAGACAACTCCTAACGACTGTAAGGCTGCACAGACACAGAGTGGCGTCTCCAGAATTTGTTATGCCCCAGATAACTCCTTTGCCTCTCCAGAAGTTTATTGCTCCCTTAACTGTTTTTATCAGAGCCATTATATATTACAATAGGCTTATAGTACCGGCTTTTTGCATAGAGCAAAAAACCAATTTGCATACCAGCCAGAAATAATTTCTTATTAATTTTTATACCTACAATATCCAGTTATTAACTTGATTAAGATGTGATGGGATTAAATTCTAGCACATAGGGAATATTTAATTGTTCTCCATGGAGAATAGCTGGAAATCCAAATTGCTTCAGTGATAACTGCAGTCACTGAGTTTGCTGGTAAATTCTGACAAAAAGCACAAAACATGTATTTAATGGACATAAAACTTAATTGCACAGAAAGTACTTATCTTTCATAGATAATCATGAACAGTTAACACCAGATACCACAAAGTTTGTGTCAGTTCTGGAAGTCAAAAATTCTACAAAAAAATTTGATGTAGATGACAATTTCTTTCACTGCCTTTAGATTTCAGATTTTTATTTGTGTGCACGAAAGACAAAATGCTCTTACTTCAAAAGATAGATAT